CATGTGGGATCTTCCCGGACCGGGGCACGAACCCGCATCCCCTGCATCGGCAGGCGGACCCTCAACCACTGAGCCACCAGGGAAGCCCCACAACTTGCTTCTTATCACTGATCATCTTGGGACACCCAGCCACCCCCAGCAGTGGCCACATGACAAATCCCATCTCCAGCCCTGCTCTGCCCTGCAGCCCTGCCGCCTGCTCCCCACAGCCTTTGCTTCCCGCCCCTCTTCTCACCCCCAGCCCCCAGCCTGGGTGCAATCTGTCAGGAAAGTCCTGAATTCAGTCTCCAATTTCCTCACCCATTTCCCCTGTTGTAGTCTCTACCTGTATTCCCAAACTCACCATTTCTACCTGCCAGTCCCAGGATGAGGCTGGGAAAGAAGGCAAAGAGGGTACACACTAGGTACCCCGACTCTTTTCTTCCTCCCTCTGCTACCCCCAATTCAAACAGCGCCCACTTAGCAATCCTCGAAGGCAAGAAAATAAAGCACGTCAAATACTGTTCAACACCAGACAGGTGATAAATGTTAGGTTCACAAGAATTCTTCCTTCTCTGTAGTCAGAAGACACGTGCACCCTGGCTACTTCCATCTCGCTTCAGTCCCTCATCTCCCACCAGCCTCAGGCCTCCCCACTTCCCAGATTGGGTCTCAGACTCGCTCATGACAGCGGGGAGCAGGTTATAGCTAACAACTTTGTCCACATGCCCTGCCACACATCCCAGCTCAGGATGCCTATCCAGAGGCATCTGGTATCATTTAACAAACACATTTGGGCACAACTGGTCTTCAGAGCTGGGGAAGAGAGAGCCTAGGGGGAGAAGTTGGGATAACAGCGGAAGAAGTAACAGCAGCAACGACAGAGGTGAATAGTGATGAAGACGGCCGTGATGAGCAGGTAGCCTATCAGGGTGAGCACCAGGGCAGCCCGAATCTCAGCGCTGGAGAACGAGACTGGGTAGCGGCCTCGAGATGTCACGCCCAGTCGGAGCCCAGCGATGCGCACGCCCTGCCGCCAGCAATAGTAGATGCCCCGGTCTTCCAGCTGGGTGAAGCGGATGTGGAGATGGTTGCCGTGGTCGATGAACACCCTCATGGACCCGTTGACGCCCTTTAGGTACTGCGTGCGGTAGAGGTACTGGTGGTCCTTGTCCCAGGCCACGGCATGCTCCGGCCGGGCCCCGGGGCAGGAGATGATTAGTCCATGGCCCAGCCTCTGCTGGTGGAACTGAATGGGCACCTGGGGCAACCAGGGCCGGCTGCCCACTTTGGCCACGTAGCTGAAGAGGGCCATCACACCCTCCTGGATCATCTTCTCGCAGGGCACCAGGCAGCTCCGAAGCAGCAGCTCGGGGACGTGGTCTCTGGCCTTGGCCTGGAGCTGCCTGGGCACAGCCCGCGAACCACAGGACACCACGTCGGACAGTGTCTTGCGGTAGCGGGGAGAGAGGTCTGGGCTCTGCAGGTAACACAGGCCAATGCGCCACTGCTCCCCACGCACCCCGCAGCGGTCGCAGGGGGTCCACTCCCAGAAGGTGGTGAAGACGTGGAGGCTCCCGTGGTACTCATCTGCGAAGGGCTCCTGGCCCTGGTCCTTGAAGGTGGCCACCATCCTCTCACTGCTCTGGATGTCCACGTCGTAGGCGTAAAAGTAGTCCCCCTTGCGGGTGCCGCAGAAATACAAGCCTGAGTCCTCAGGCTGCGCCCGGAAGACCAACAGGCTGAACATGCGGATGCTGAAGCGGACCAGCATGTCGCTGCCCACACGCACCTGGGCTGCCTCCGTCAGGACCCGCCCATCAAAGTCCGTCAGCACTTTGGTGTGGCCGCTGCCGAGGTGCTTCTGATAGTACCAGACGACAGCGGACACCTCCTCGGGCTTGCAGTGACAGGGGAGCTCGAAGCTCATGTCAGCCAGGTAGGCTGCATTGTCAAACATCAGGAACGCTGGGCAGGGGGTCCTCTGAAAAATGTTCTCCTTCTCCACGATTTCAAAAGCCTGGAGGCTCCCCAACACCCACAGGAGCACAGTGGCCTGGGCCAGGTTCATGCCTGCGCAAGGGAAGAGTCAGAGGGGGCGGGGCAGAACCTAGGCACTAAAGGCCTATGGGGCTTCTAGAAATCACTGCTGGGAGGAGGCATCTATATGAGGAAAGGATTCAGCAGCCAGGAAAAGAAGCAACAATCTGCAGAGGAAGCTGCCACAGACAAGGCAACTTATACCCAGTGGATGTACAAGATGCCCTTCTAACGTTCCGGACGTGATCTTGAGGGAAAACCATTCTAGAACCTGGCACTTTGTCCCCTTTCTAGAACACTGGCACTCACTCAAGAATGGGTCAGGGGAAGCCAGAATAAGAAGCAAGGGCCCAGGTACCAGGACAGGGGAATCTCTGCCTCTCTGTTCCAGGCCCTGCCCTGCCTGCCTGGTGGAAAGGTCCTCCCTTTGGTTAATCCAGGAGTTGAAGGCAACCCTCCTACCTGCACATCTGGCCATCTGAAGATGCCTGGGAGGCTGGCCAGGCCTGAGCTGATGGCTTGGGGTTTTCCCAGGCCCAACCTGCACGGGAACTCAGCCCCTGGAGAAAAATACTGCACCTCAAATGAGGTAGCATTTGATCATTTATTGATTAAATGTCCATTCTGTTGGGTTCCAGTTACAAATACTCTTGTTAAGAGTTGTGGAGATCAGTATTAATTTATCATGGAAGATTAACAATTTTACTTTTTCCTTTTCTTGAGTGGAGGCTATAACGGGTGGTACCGGTGTTTGGTTGGGTGCTCACCCATCTCTCAGGGCCACGGGCTAGCACACTGGCAGACTCTAAGGGTGGGAAGCAAAAGTCTTTCAACTTCTTGGGCCCTTGACCATCCTGTGGATCTATGCAGTTCAGAATATGGAGCCCCCAAGAGGCTGGAGGAAGAGGGAAAATTCAGTTACTGCTTTTGTTGTGAAAATTCCAAGACCAGAGGGAGTTAGGTGTGGGCTTTTCACTACAGTCTTGCAGAGCCCTCGAGACAACGAAAAATGCCTCCAGTGACCACTGGGGGCCTCTGAAGGTAACTGGTCCCATCAGTCCACACGGTACAGCCTTAGCAGCTCTTGCAGAAGACTCTCCTCCTCCTGAAGCCCACCAGGCTGCTCCCCCAGACCCCGCCCCTCCAGGCTGGGGGTGCCCATGGCCTGCAGCTTCTGAAACAAGGATCTGCAGCTCTCTCTCTCCGCGTGGCTCATCAGGCTCAGGTTCAGGGTGAAGCGGCCAGTGCTGGCCAGGCTGCGCAGGATCCCCAGCACCACCCACCGGTCAGCTGGCCTCACGTGATCAGCCAGTGCCATCAGCATCTCCCCTAGAAGTCCAAACCCCACATCCATCTGGAAGAGGCGGCCCAGCTTTGGGCCCCCGAGCTGCAGCAGGGCCTCGTAGCGCTCTGGCCCACTCCGCAAGTATCGCCGCCAGTCACGGTAGAACTCAGCTGAGGTCTCGGGCTGGAGGAGTGTTTTCTCCTGGATCGCAAAGGAAGGAAAGAGAGTACAGAGCTCCTCCAGCTGCTGTGTGGCAGTGAGAGTGAGGGGAGCCTGTGGATTTTCATCTGAGCTCTAGTATCACTCTCTGAGCACTGGCAAGGCTGTGGTCCCTGTGGGCCTCATTTTCAGATGAGGGGACAAGGGATGGGATGGGGAGGGAGGGTCCCAAGGAACCCAGGCTGTGATTTGAGACTCTCAGTTGTACCAGACTTTTCCTACTGATGAATGTGGACATAGCCCTGCTCTGCAAGACTAAGTCAGAGTTTACTCTGGGCAGGGCAGGAGAGGGGGTAATTGGAAACCTCAGGAGGAGAGAAAGGAACTCAAGATGAGTATTAAGGATATGACAGGCTGGATCTCCTTCCCAACACTGCCAGAGGATCATAGGCTCTATACCATATAACTCGAGGCAGGGCGACCCAGATCTGATCTGGGAATGGGAACCAAGGATTGACTGACAGGGGCCTGCCGAGCCCACCTTTCTGACTTGTTCTGGTTGGTTTTGGCCTCACCACCCGTTGGTTGCTTTTCTTTCTGGGATTGGAGGCAGAAACCTGCCTCTGTTGGCTTTACATGAGAAATAAGGAAAACACATGTGTTATAAGAAAACAGGGTTGGAGGTTTAAGGCAGAGAATCCTGCTGGGCCTCACCTACCGGGGAGATTTCAGTGGTTTCATCCTGGGAGGGCCTTCCCTGAATAGTGTGACAGTTCCAGGGCACAGTCCTCTTTCCTCCTATCTTGTCCTTCTGCTCCAGCGGCTTCAGATGTGATGCAAGGACAATACCCCTACAGGCAAAGGACAGAGATTAGGGGATGGACCTAATGCCATCTGTAGGTGTGAGGTGGCTGGACTGTGCGTGATACTGGCTGAACCTGTTGGCAGGCCAATAGGACAATGATAATAACAACAGCAACAATAGCTGACAACTGTTGAGCACTTTCCATGTGCCAGATATTGTGCTCAGAATCTTACATGCAATAACATTTAATCATGACAGTGGTTACTCTCTCTTACAGATGAGGAACAGAGGCTCAGATAGGTTAAATAACTTGCACAAGATCACACAGGTAGCAGAAGGTACGGCCAAGATTGAGCCCAGAATTGTCTGACTCCAAGTGCACGCTCTTATCCACTATAGTAAACCATAACAGGAGAGCCTGAGAAAAATGGCAGTAAGCTGACCTGAACTCCTCATAGGAAGCCACCCTCTGTTCCACTGCCCGTAACTTGGCAGCATTTTCCCGTTTGTACTTCTCATCAGCAATGAGTGCAGCCTGCAGCTCTTTCTCCAAAGCCTTGAAGTCAATGATGTCATTCCTTTGCATGGCCTGTGCCTGGGAAGGCAAAGGGAATGAATGTCAGCAGAGGGTGAATATCAGGGGTGGGGGTTTGCATCTGGATTCTTTGCCCACAGAATGACCCCAAAGCACTCTGGATATCTAGTCACTCATCTTGAGGGGGGTGTTATAAAAATCTAGTTCTCTATTTTACAGAGGGAAGCTGAGTTGCACAGTGAAATCTTGCTTAAGATTTGTTGCCACTGAAAATAGTCTTGACTTTCAATTTAGTGCCTTGTCTTAATTTTGCTCTCTGCCTCTGAAAATATTTTTTTAATTGAAATATAATTGACATACAATGTTATATTAGTTTCAGGTGTACAAACAACATAGTGATTCGACATTTATATACAAGACGATCACCACAATAAGTCTTGTTACCATCTGTCATCATTTAAGGTTATTACAATACTATTGACTATATTCCCTATTCTGTATATTACATTCTCATAACATATATTTTATACCTGGAAGTTTGTGCTTCTTAACCTAGTTCATCCACCCCACCACCCCCTTCCCCTCTGGCAACCACCAGTTTGTTCTGTTTTGTTTGTTCATTTGTGTTTTAGATTCCACGTGTAAGTGAAATCATACAGTATTTGTCTTTCTCTGTCTGACTTATAATATCCTGTAATGCTGTATAATACCTTAGCATAACACCCTCTAGGTCCATCCATGTTGTTTTAAACGGCAATTTTTCATTCTTTTTTATCCTGCCTCTAAAAATATTTTAGCATTGGTGCTTTGGCTGAGGAAGCATTTGGATTTCAGAATTCAGCCCCTTCCCATTTCCACAGGGACTCACTCTAAAGCGAGTTGTGATAGAGGCCCTCACAGAAAAGCAGAACTATTGTAACCTACTCTTGAGCCCTGGGATAAAATTCCACTCATTGTTAAATGTCTTTAACGAGGAATGATACTTTCCACCCAAACCAGATGCAGTGACTGAGCAGGAAATCAAGTAGAGGTGGCAGAAGAAGGGGCTCAATGATCCCCATTTCCAAATCCCTCTGTGCAGCCAGGGCTGGAGCACAGATTCCTGGGTTCTTGGGCAACCTCTTTAGCTCTGCCACTGTACTTCTGAAGCCTCCGCTTATCTGAGGCTGACTGACCCGTTCTACACGGAGATCACCTACATGGGTTCTAGTCTTGGCTCTAGCATTTCCTTACTGTGAGACCCCTTTGACCATCAGACTCCTAGTGTACTAAGCTAGATTACGTGGTGAAGTCATCATCAACAGCCCTAGGGCAGGGAAGCTTGAGGTCTACAACCAACCCCGTGCCCTCCCCCTCCACCCCAACACGGGATAAGCCTGAAGACCAAGAAGGAGGCTGCGTTGGCCAGGAACTGAACTCAGGTGTCCTGGCTCCTGTCTAGTTCTGTGCCCTTGCCAGTCACTGAATAAATAGAACACCTAATCCTCCTGCCCCCTGACCTTCACCCCAGCAGCCAGGGCCCTGGTTTCCTTTCTTTGGGGATCCCCAGTTACCGCCAGACCACGTCTGCTCAGCGTAGACCACGCCCAGCAGCTGTGGTTACCCAGCAACTGCTCCAACAGCCTGCCCACGTGACCTCCCCGAAGGCCCCCGTCAGGGTAGTCCCGGGGCGCCTGATCAGATTCTCGCCTCCTCGGGCCTTGTTTTCTTTGGAGCAGCCCACGCCTTGGTTTGGGGACCCACAACTCCGCCTCGCAGGTTCCTGTGTCCGCGGCCGGCATTCTTCCGAGCTGGTCCACAGGCAAAGGGCTGTCCTCCGAGGCAGAAACGCGACCGCGGCGCCTGCGGGGTCCTTCCGAACAGCGGGCGCAGGCGGTGCGGCGGCGTTGGACGGAAGCGCGGTCTCTGGCGGCCTACTCGGAGTTTTTGGCTGAGCAGCGGGAGGTGAGTTGGCGCGGGTCCACGGCATGGGAAGGTTGCTCTTGTGGGATGGGAAATTAAATAATGGCAGATGTGGAGGAGACGTTATATGCTATCTTCTCCTTTCACTTTACAGATGGGTTAATTGAGGCGGGAAAGGGAATGAAGGCCCTACCACACCGCCCCCACACGCACACACAGATTTCGGGGTTACCTCCTGTCGTCCATCTTTAAAACCCTTTCCCGGGGCAGGGGTCGTTCTTGCACTGTCCATGCACCTGTCTCACTCCCTCTTCCAGCTGTGCCGCCTTCATCCTTTCTCTACCAAGCTCTCTCCGTCCTTACTCTGTATTCCTTGGAGAGCCTGCGTTGTAGCGGGAAGCTGCGGTGAAGTTTGGTACCGAAATTAACTAATTTGTGCAACTGTGGGCAAGTCAGCTATCTTCTGTGTGCCTTGTTGGAGTCACTCATTTAGTCATTGAGCAAATACTGATTGAGGTTCTATTTTGTGCCAGGCACCGTTCTA